AGGGGCCTAGGGGTTTAGGCGTTTAGGGGTTTAGGGTTTAGGGTTAAGGCTTCAGTGGTTTGGGGTTTAGGGTTTAGGGGTTTAGGTTTTAAGTCTATAGAGCTTACTTAGTTAGAGGGTTTGTTGAAGGTATGAGGGATCATAGGGCTTAGGGTTTAGGAATTAGGGTTTTTGAGGTCTATGTCTAAAATCTTTATTCTTGGTCTTGATAGACTTGGGGCCTAGTAGAGGGACCCTAATATTCATAGGGTCGCCCAGAACCCCCCCAAAGACCCCCGCCCCCGCCGGCTTGGAGGGATGTGCCTAGCGATAATTGAGGGGCTTATTGAGCAAAAGATCGGGCGCTAGCGAGGGCCTATTGAGCGGTAGAAGGCTCTTATTGAAGGAGTGTTCCGGCTATTGAGCGGTAGAAGGCTCTTATTGAAGGAGAGTTCCGGTTCGTTTTGAGGGCATTTTGTGGGGGCCAAACCCTGTGATGGAAGCTGCTTCTCTTGTTGGCTCCTGAGCGCCGTGCCGACTGTACTCCGCCGCTGCGCAAGCTGCTTGGCAGAAGGCAGAAAGCTTGAGAAGGGTTGCGAATTGGCGGGTCATTGAGCAATTTCTGGTCAGTGCCAAGCTGATTGGCAGATTAATGGCAAACATCCGCATCATCCTCAGCCAACACGGGCGCAGCTGCAGGCGGCGCCTCCATGAAAGGTTCTGGAGCCCGCGAGCACCAGGCTTGTCCCAGATGAAGCTGCTGGCAGAGGAAGGCTTGCTTCGCTTCGATTCCTTTGAAATCCAAGTGCTCCCTCAGCTCAGCCAGGCCTGCGTTTCGCAGATCCCAGGTGTCGCTGCCGCAGACAGTCGCGACAAGTTGCTCCTTCCAAAATGTCCGGGCTTCAGCTAGAGGCACTGAAAACAGTATTCGGGTTTGCGCACTACACCTACCACCGACACGACCGTGAAGATGCGAAGTATGATTCACAGTATGCAAAGCGCCCTGTCGGCACGGTTTTCTGTATTGTTGACATGTGCCCTTTCGCCACCCTGAACCTGGAACGCAGGCCCACGGATGCGGTCCTCACAGTGCAGCTGCGTGCGCTGGAGGAACGCCTAGCGGCTGCTGCTGCGGCTGCTGGCTGAAGCCTGTGGTGAGCCGGGCAAACTAGCCAATATCTTAGCAGCCAAATTCGACCTGACCCAGCTGAAGCCTCCTGTCGGATCCGTTTGCAAACAGTGTGCTCCCTTCTTCGTCACCATCGTGGGGAAGAAGCGACTTCGGCGGTTGCATCGCGCGGGCAGCTGCGTTGTAAGTGTAAGCTCCATGGATGTCTACGAATCGGAGCCTGTGTGGCAGTTGAAAGGTGCGGAATTTGACCTTGCCTGTCAGCACTGCTGGAAAGCCGGCGAGGCAACTCTCTCCGAAGCTGAGGAGGCCGACGACTCCGGCAGTTCCGCTGCTTCAGAAGACAATGCTGGAGATTGATCTTCGGCTCCAAGAAGCCGTGTACATAGTTGTCTCGTAACGGTCGTAACGTAGCAGGTGTGTCACCCCTTTTGTGCGAAGCGGTCGCATGTTGGCAGTGCAGCAGATAGTGCTGCACGAATTGCTGAGCGTTTGTGCAAGTTCGTCGCATGTGTGGTGCGCCTAAAGCGCGCATGTGGCGCCAGCCCAGGGCGGGGGCTGGCCGTTGGTGCCATGCCATGTTGTGGTATGGTGTTAGTGTTTTGCGTATCGTGTGCGAGCAGCTTGTGCCGCAGCTTTTCTGTGCTTGCACGTGTGCCAAGTGTGACAGTGCCCTACAGTCATTGTGTGTGCATAAAGCATTTTGCCATGACTGATCTTTCTTCTGCCGATTCGGAGCTCCGCTTCCAAATGGAGGAGGCCGGGGTGTCTCCGGCCACGCAAAAGAAGTTTTACGACCTTGGCGTGACTTCACTGCGAATCTTCGGTGGCTTGGAAGAATCTCGCGAGGAGCTTCGTGCAGTCTTCACGGACGATTTTGGTCTCAACCCTGCGGGCAACATTGAGATCCGCAAAGAAGTTTCCAAGCTACCTTGCGTGTGGGAGAGCGCACGCATGCAGCTCAAGTGCCAGGAGCAGAACCGCCAGGATGCCAAGCTGGGTGTTCAACAGCGGCTGGTCCAGAACTCGTCCCCGCGCCTGGCCGGTTTTGCAACTGCAAACAAGCGTTTTAGGGATGATAGCAGTGCGGTTCCTGCTGCGCGTGAACAGCGTGAAAGCGTTAAGGTGCGGCGCCTGCGGGGACAGAGCCTGCAGAAGATTGGCGCTGGGAGCGAACTGGCGAGAGCATGTGGGAGCAGTGCGACGTTGAGACAGTTGAAGTTGGCTCCGATGAGGACGTGACCATCCTCAGCTGGGAGACGGCCATTGGGGCCGTGGCCCACCGTTGACAGCGCAGTTGTTCGGAAAGAAAGAGCCTCTCCGTGATGGATTTGGCTTATGCTCTCCAGGGCGGTGGCGCCCAAGCCAAAGACGTTGTGCTGATGACACACCGTCTTTAGGGTTTGCCCAGAGGCTGGGTGACGAGCTGCTGAATATGCTGGCTCGGCACATCGACCTTTCAGACTTGGCTTCAAAGCTCACGCAGGCCAAGATCGTGGAGAATCCGTTTCCTGCAGACCTTATTGCAGAAGGGCGTGAGCTCCTACTGCAAGGGCCTTGTTTTGGCTGTACAGGGGATGTGACACGTGCGCACAGGCTTTCAAAAGTAGCGACCCAAGATTGGGGACTCCAAGCTTGCAAGACTGGCGTCGGCGGACCGAGCAAGCTGTGGCTGAACAAGGTTGGCACCTTTGGAATTTCCAGTGCCGCTTACCGTTGGAGTCGACTGATGTCTGGTTTCGGTCGAGCTGCCTTCTATCTGCTTGGGAGATCGGAGATCTACGTGCTGATCTATGTAGACGACATCCTTTGGTCAGCGCGTGTCGATAAGAATGGCATTGAAAGAATTTGCATGATTATCTTTTTCTTTGTAGTTCTGGGTTTGCCCTTTTCTTGGCGTAAGTTCTTGGGGGGCGAGGAGTTTGGTTGGGTCGGTTTCGTTCTAAACGTCAGAGAATGCAAGCTCGGACTATCAGTGCAGCGAGCGCAGTGGTTGGTGCAGTGGCTGAACCGCGCCTCATCCGCGAGTTGTGTGAAGATCGCCGATGTCAGTACAGTGTTGGGCCGCCTGTCATTCGCGCTGACGGCGCTGGGCCACTTCCGGCCCTTTCTTGGACCAGTCTATGCATGGGTTGCAACGCTGGACCACGGGAGATCCTAAAAGTGCCGCGTGCGATTGCTTTAATCTTCAAGTTCTTGGCAACTGCTCTGAATGGGGCTGGGCGGCTCGTGGCGGCCCGCAAACCGCTTGCCGTGGAGAAAGAGCTCTTCCGCACAGACGCCGAGGCTGAAGGCAATGAGGTTTGGGTCGCAGGCTGGGCGCTGGAGTCAGAAGACACCAAGCAATGCCGATGGTTCGCTGAGAAGCTGGATCACATCTTGGCGCCCTGGGTTTACATGGCCGGCGAGTCTTATCGCCAGATCGCCTCGCTGGAGCTTCTGGCGACACGTGCAGTTTCGGGGTTCCATCAGGCGAAACATGTGGCTTTCTGTGTTCAGCGTCGACGGACAATCGTGGCAACAGCAACCTTGTTGCACGGCTGTTGACGACAAAGTTCGCCTTGTGTCCTGCTGATGGAGCTTGCCATGCAGTTGCAAGTGAAGGGTGCAGACCTTCGCCTTCACTGGCTTCCGCGACTACAGAACGAGGAAGCAGACTCGCTGACCAATGGCGATTACAGTAGGTTTGATGCAAGACTTCGTCTCAGATTTTGATTTGAAGTCCTTCAAAGGATTGGTGTTGCATGATCTTATGAAGCCAGGCATGAATCTTTATGAAGACGTGCGCGACTCGCGTGCTCATAAGAATGTTGTGAATCAGTCCAAGCGGCCAAGGCAAGCCGCTCTACGCGCCATGGACCCTTGGCAGTGAAAAGAATGGCAGTCTCTGCGTTGCCCCGTGCTTGCTCTTCGAGTGGGGTGCATGTTTGTCAGCGACGCGGCTGATGGTTATATTTGTCAGCACTTGGCTGATGTCGGCTAGGATCGATTGTTAGCCGTGTGGTCAGTGAAATGTAGTTGGCCGTACTTTCCACCACCTTCAGAAGACAAAAGAAGGGGCGTGAATCTGCAGTTGGGTTCAGGACTTGCTTCGTCGACTTGATTGGGTCTTTGTTGAGGGTTGCGGTCTCGCTAGGATCCCGCGGGTCGAACCGTAGCGAAGCGGAGGGGCGAAGAGAGGGATCAATAACGTAATATTCTGTTACGCTATTCTGATTACATGAAGGCCCTACATTGCCCTAAACCTTAAAAGGGGCGACCCTAAGCCCTAGACTTTAAACTCTAAAAGCAACCCTAAACTCTAGAACCCTAACACCCTAACACCCTAAAGCCCTAAACCCCTAACCCTAAACCCTAACACCCTAAAACCCTTAACCCTTGACCCTAAATCCTAAACCCTAAAACCTCAGGAAATCATAATAGGAACCCTAAAAAGGTAGGTTCTTTGGGGTTGAGGAAACCCTAAAGCCCTAAACCCTAAACACCTTAAACACCCTAAAGCCCCAAAACCATAAAACCCTCAACCCCTAAAGCCCTAAAGCCTTGAAGCCCTAAAGCCCCTGAAACCCTTAAACCCCTACAGCCCGAAAGCCCTAAAACCCTAAAGCCCTAAACCCTGAACCCCTCAAGCCCTAAAACCCCCAAAACCGTAAAGCCTTAAAGCCCTAAAGCCTCTAAAACCCCAAAAGCCCTAAAGCCTTAAAGCCCTAAAGCCCACAACCCGAAAACCTTAGAAGCCCTAGCCCTAAACCCTTAATCCAAACTCTAAGCCCTAAAACCCTAAAGCCCTTAAGCCCCGTAAAACCCTAAACCCTAAACCCCTAAATCCTAAAGCCCCTAAAACCCTTAAACCCTCAACCTTTAACCCTAAACCCTTAAAAGATCCCTTGAGGCCTGCGTGACGGTCGCGTACACGAAGGAGTCGGGCCTGGAAGGGCCTCTGGCGCGGATGGCGGCTTGCCGGGTTTCAGGGGGCGAAGAGCCGAATCAGTTTGGGGTTCAGGGTTTTGGAGTTTAGGGTTTGGGGTTCAGGGCTTCGGAGCCTAGGGTTTCAGAGTTTAGGGTTAGGGTTTAGGGCTTTTCGGGGTTCAGGGTTTAGAGTTTAGAGTTTAGAGTTTTAGGGTTTTAGGGTTTGTGGTGTTAGGGTTTAGGGTTGTAGGGTTTAAGGTATAAACAAACTAATCCTTCCAATTCGGGGAGTCGTTGTCGTGGTGGTGGTAGTGGTGGTGGTGGTGGCAGGACGAGGCACCACCTAACCAAGAGCAAGCAGCGGGATTTAATTTCAAGATCCCCGACCCCTATAAGGGTTCCTTTAAGGGGACCTATGGGGGTTCTTTGAAGGGTTCCTTTAACAGAGGAGCTTCGTTTTGAGAAGCTTTAACCTTCGCCTCCCCCATTGAAATCGTAGTCTTTTCAGGCCCCGGTGGCTATAAACGCACCAAGGATCAGTTTAGGGTTTAGGGTTTAGGGTTTAGGATCTAGGGTTTAGGGTTTAGGCCTTGATTTAGGCCTCCAGCCAAAGAGTGCCACGCCCCAACAACAAACAAAGCCATCGCACGAAAACCGAGCATGTGGTTCTTCATCCCACCCTAAACCCCTGAACCCCTAAACCCGAAACTCTAAACCCTGAACCTTGAACCCTAAACCAGAAAACCCAAACCGCAATCCCCTCAACCCCAAAAACGCGAATGCCCCAAACCCTAAACCCTAAACCCTAAACGCTAATGCCCCAAGGGAGAGGTGGAGCACAAGGAGGCTGATGGCCTCAACTGGCTACTTTCCGTCCAGGGCCCGGAGTTGCCCTGCCGGGTCTTAGCCTTTCGGGTAGGGGTTTAGGCTTTAGGGTCTAGGGTTGAGAGTGTTTGGGGTTATAGGGGGTTGGTTTTGGGTTTTTGGCCTGGAGCAACGGTTAATGGTTTTCCAGCTTGGTTCTCGGTTGTGGGTTTAGGATCCGGGTCCCGGGCTTTGGGGTCAATTTTGGATTTGGGGCTTGGGCTTTGATGCTCATAGCTAGGTTGGTTTTCGGGTCATTTTTAACATTCCTTATTTGGGTTTAGAAGGGACCCTTTACATAATCATGTTTCAGAGGGCTTAAAGGCCAACCCAGATAGTTTTGATAGAGTCACGCCACGTCAAGCTGGCGGGCTCGTAGAACCTTGATCCCCCGACGTGGCGAAGCGGTTTCTGCGAGGGAGCCGACCTTGCAGATCGTCGGGAGAGATGCAGAGCGCCTCTCCGGGGGGTGCCCTACTTGGAGGTTCGTGGGTATTTATAAGTGGGGTTATACGTATTTCGGGTTCCCTGAAGGGTTCTATAGGGTTTAGGGTTTAGGGGTAGTTATAAGTGGGGTGATAAGTAGGGTAAGTATAGTTATAACCCATATTAGGGGACTTATAACCCCACTTATACGTACCCATGAACCTCCAAGTATGTTCATCCTAGACTCCTAGACGTTAAGTCACTGTCTTAGGGGCCCAATAGGTAAACTTTTTAGTTTTTTTGGGTATGTTAAAGCCCTACTCGAAGAGAAGTTTAAACTTTTTTGGGCCAGGGTATTAGGCTTAAAGGTCATAGACCTTAAAACCTTCTCCCTATAAATCCTGAACCCTAAACCCTAGGCCCTACAGCCATTGTGGAGGAAGCACAGCTCTTGAGCCACCTAGCTTTGACCACACGTTAACGCCGAAGGCTTCGGGTTTCGGGTTTGAGAGATTTGGGATTTAGGGTTGAGGGAAATCCCAAATAGACCCAGCACCCTAAGCGCTCAACGAGCAGAACACGAAGCCCACTTGGAGGTTCATGGGTAGTTATAAGTGGGCTTATAAGTCCCCTAATATGGGTTATATACTATAGTTACCCTACTTATAACCCCACTTCTAACTACCCATGAACCTCCAAGCAGGTGTCCCAGGCCCAGTTCGAGTGCGTGGACGAACTGCCAGAGCTTCCTGAGGACCAGACCGCCTCCTGACGTTCAGAGCTTCGGATTTAGCGTTGGGTGGGCTTAGGATTTAGGGTTTTGGGGCTTAGGATTTTCGGTATAGGGCTTCTGGTTTAGGGCCTGAGCCCAAGCAAGGTAGACATAAGGATTTCGGATTTGGGCTAGGTATGAGCCCCTCAACCCTAAACCCTAAACCCTAAACCCTAAGCCTTTTAAAGGGTTCTCTTTCGCGTGTTCCTCTTTGCCACGGCTCTTTCCCCACTTTTCCGCAGCCTGGTCTTTACTTTGCGCTCCGGAATGTAGGGGTGTTTTTGGGTGTTCCTGATTACAGTTCTAGTACAATATACCCCATTGTTACATATTTTAGTTATAGTATAATATACACCAAACCCTATTCAAATTACCTAAGTCCCCTACATCATCCATATTGTGATACTGGCTATGGCTTTGACCACGAACATAGAGCACCCCAAAACGGTATACATCCACAGTTATAGGCATTACAAACTACGACTGCCATGAAACCCTAAACCCTAAACCCTTAAAAACCCTAAAGGACAGCAGCGACAAATCTGCACAGTATGCGTAGGCACATGGAGCTCTACACCGCAGGGTGGCTCAACCAGCTAGAACGCCCAAAACCCTAAGCCCTCGACCCTAAACCCTAAACCCTCGACAAGAGCCCTTGCAAGGCTTGAACTTCTCGTCGTAGTCGAGTGTATCTATCCCCTCTAATGTAGGAACCTTAAGAAACCCTGGCCCTATACATATCAACTCCCCAAGCCTGTAAACCCTTGCTAGGGCTTGGGGTTGAGGGCTAAGGGTTTAGGGATTAGAGCAACGTTTAAGGTACTCCAAGAAAATTATTGGATCAATGGATAAGTGTCTGCGCGGAGGGCGTGAAGATGTTTATTGTTTCAACTTCCTTACAATTACTGTAAACGGTAACCTAGGCCCAACACAAATCCAAAACTCTTAACTCTTAACTTTAGAAACCTTCTAGGTACCCCTAAATGCCATCTTTTGAAGGATGCACTTGGCGCTGAGGACAAGGCACCGACCGGATTCGATCAAAATAATCGTGAAGCCCAAAGATGCAGAATTGAGGATTTTGGGTTTAGGGTTTAGGGAATACACACCTAAACTAGAATGCACCTAAACCCTAAACCCTATTGCTTCAGAATACGAAACCCTGTTAGAATGTCAGGTGCGAAGGGTGTTGCGCTCCTTGAGCAACCCCCCCCCCCCCCTTTAGGTTTTCCTTGCGTGAGGCACCTTAGAAACCAAGGTCTAGGATTTAGGAACCGGTGCTTAGGATTTAGGAACCCGGGTTTAGGATTTAAAAGGGCTTAAATGGGAGGTTTTGGTTACTTTTAGTTACACTTTCTGCACTTCAGAACCTTGGGCTTGGGTCTTGGAAGACGCATCTTTGAAGTTGATTTCTAACTTCAGGTTTCGGAACCCAGAGGTTCAGGGGCAGAATCAGAAGCTCCACTGCCGAAGAGGTTCACGATCAAGGGCTCCAATCGCGAATCGCCTTTTTGCAGAGCTGTACATGGGCTTTTTGAGGTTCTGTAGGTGTTTTTGGAGTTTTGTAAGTTTAGTTCGTCCCCCAGTCCTAACCTTCGACACGAACCTCAACAACGGGATTACATTGGAGAGTATAAGTGAACCCACCACTTCGATGGTGAACCGCAGAATCCTCAGAACCTGGAGACGCAACGACAATCGACATCCAGAAGCCCTAATTTCTGAACCAAGCCCAAAATGCTTGAGGGATGAGAGGACATCGCCAGTAGGCCGGGCAAGTTGATGAAAGGGACCATGTGGCCATGTCAGTGGCCTCCTACGTTACTTGTGGCAGGAACCTTATGTATTGGCTATGGTTGCTCAGCTCACCTCGAATGGTGGAAATGTCATCTTCAGCTTTCCCTGCGGGGTTACCATCGACATCGCTAAGGTGCATACTATCTAAAGAGATTTGGGAGCGTGCTGGACCATATAACCGTTGTCAATATCGTCACCCCAGTATACTTCGTATGCACTGCCGAGTGCAAAAAACTGTGGTATTCCTGCTACCTTAATGTCCGTTCAAAATCTACCGGCCAAACCGGTGTCATGTATGTGCATCTCATACTAGTAGGGTTAGGAGCAGGCCGAGCAGGTTTACCACAATTTGCCCAAAGTCAACCTATCTATAGTAAGCACCCTTATCCTTCGAGCAGCCCAAATCCCCCGACAAAAGCATGGCTTCGGGTTTAGGGTTTCGTCCCGAATCCGCAAAGCAAGTCAAGGCCTAGTAAAATGTCTACCAAGCCTTCAAAGTCCACTTTGTAACACCCCAGAAACACCGAAGTCAGCAGCTCAAGGGATACTGTATTCACATTGACCTTGGGCTCAACCCTAAACCCTAAAGCATAGAATGCCGCCAGGACCTGGGTGTTGTTGTGACGGTTTCCCGCCGGGGCCCCGACGAGCGCTTTGGGGTGGCTTTGTTTCTCTGAGGCTATTGAGGGCTTGGGGGTCACGGTGTACAGAGTGTGCGATCGATGCTTTTAGGTTTGAGGATCATATGTGAGGGAGTCGGGAGAACTGTGATTTATTTAGTGCGTCGCCGAAGGCACAGATTGAGACTGGCGGTCGCTGTACAACACTCCGCGCAGCAAAGATGGCAACTATGCAACTATGGAGCAACCCGAAACTCCTGCCCCCCAACCCCGAAACCCTAGAGCCTCAACCGTAAACCCAAAAGAAGAAACGGATGAAGAACGTGAACGTTGAAGCCTTTGAAGACGGCCATAAACAGATGAGCCCTGCACCCTAAGCCCATAGCCCTTGTTCCTAGAGCCGGCAAATCCTGCACCCAAGCTTCAAAATCTGAAACCCCAAGCCCGACACCGTCTACACCTTACAGTGACGGTTAGGGGTTTAGTGTCTGGGGGTTGCAAACTCCTTGTCCTCAGAATGCCAGCATTAATCGTCTTGCATCGAGTGTGGGTGTACTGTAACTGTAACTCCCAAACCTCACCTTACGCCCTACCTCTGATGTAACAAGCGTCTAGCCATTGTTTTCGAACACACAAAAAGCAGAACATCACCGAAACCCGACACCCTGAACCCAAAATCTACAACCCTGAACTTTAAAAACCCTAAACCCCAACCCGCAGCCCCCGATTCGGAAATCAGGCGCGGCGGGCCACAAGTGCGAGCGGTGCTGGGTCTATAGCGAGACGGTGGGTGACTGCGAGGAGAGGAGGGTGTTGAGGGTTGGGGGCTTCAGGCTTTATCATAGGGTTTAGGGTCCAGAGGTTAACTTACAGAACTTGTATAGGGTTTAGGGTGTGGGCTGAGGGTTTAGGTTGAGCTAGATAGGGGCCTGTAGCAAGGGTTGCGAATGACGAATTTTCTTCTTTCGGTTCCCGAACATGATTCTGGTAACCACCAAACGCTAGTTTGATAATGACGCTCCTGCATGTAAAGGCACAGAGGTCGAGTTTACAAGGTCTCTTCTTGGGGCCACCCGAGTATGACCCTACTCAGAATCTGCCTTGCAAGTCTTAAACCTCCTAAACCCTTTGAAGGTCCACAGAGCCCTTATAGGAATGTAAATGGTAGCCTTCAAGGAACTTCAACCCTAAACGCCAGACCCTTCAGGTGGAGTCTCTGGTGCGTTGGGCTTTTGGTGCTTCGGGTTTAGTTCTTTCGGCGCCTAACGGTGTTAGGCCTGAAGGTGTAAGACTAGGACTTGAGAGGCAAAAGCCGTCAGGTTCATTCTCACTTGAAGGATCATGGGACTTAGTACATTAACTAGGGTTATATCAACCAGGGTTCTGCAGTACTGGAGGGTTCTTGGAGCTCCCAATGGGTGCCCAGGAGCATCCAACCCTCTGCCACCGCTGCGCCGATGTCGTGCAGGAGTTGGGCGTCGGACACTCAGGTTCAAGCAAGGTTCTTTTAGGGCTTGCGGCTTTGGGCTTAGTATATTGGTGAACTGTCATCGGTAATTGGGCTCTCGGGTTGTACATAAGTTCAAGGAAGTCTCGGAGTTTTTCGGATTCAGAGCGAAAGCCTGTCGGGCTTTTAGATTTCTAGGCTTTAGCGGAACCTTTGCTCACTTTGAGTCGAGTGGCAATACCACCACTCCACCCCGGATCCTTTATGATTTTTCTAGTTAGGTCTACACCAACGTACCTGGACAGTATGGTGCTCTCATCAGTAGCACAGGGACTGGGTGAAGGTGTACAGCGGTGAGTTCCTGATGGTGTCTGGCAATGACTGCCACAACATGGCTCCCGATGCGGCGTTCGAAGGTACATGTTTACACATTCTCAGTATTTGATGTAGTACTTCGTCTTATGCCGCAGCGTTTCAGACTAGACCCAGTGGATAGGACATCACAGGACACAGAAGCCAGTGACGCTCTTTGTCGACTGTGCGATGGGAGGTACCGTGCCGAAGATTGTTGAAGATGAGAAAACGAAGTGGGCTGCAGATCACTGCTTGCAAATCAACGTCGAGCGCCGAGATCGTCAGCTCCAGAGCGTTGGCAAGTTTGGAGAACAACTCCACGTGTGCTGGTCTATGTGCACGCAGGACGGCATTAGGTACCAGCATTTTTTTGTGACGGATCTTGTGCACACCATGGAGTTCCTCACTACTGGTCTTCAAGTTCACAGCAATGCTCTTGGGGCACCTTACTATGTAGATGTATCCTTCACGAAGACCCATGAGGTCGAGCATCGAATGAAGCAGGTGTGTGGATCAATGGCCTACTCAGTAAGCCTGAGGAATTGTGAGCACCTGGCCCGCTTCATTCACAGTGGATCGTGGGTGAGCTACCAGATGCTCCAAGGGTCGTACTTGGGATCCACATTTGTTCAGTACATGATGGATGAGCACTTGAAGAAGTCGAACTGCCTTCCAGTTGAGCTTCAGGCGGAAGTAGCACGCCGACCACTTTACTCAAGTCGTGACTATGCAGGCTTGTTGAGGTATGAATCGTCACCAAGAGGACTCAGCCGCGCAGACCATGATGCTTTCAATGTGCTTGTGGTTGGACCTTCGGGCTGTGGCAAGTCCAGACTAATCAATCTTCTCTTCAACTGCGATGTCACGGAGTCCAAAGGTGCTGCACATTCAGTAACCAGGGAGATGACAGTGCTTTCTGGGCAAGGCAAGATCCGAGACAGCTTTCGCAAGGTCAACATCATTGACACCATCGGCCTTTGTGACTCACACATCTCCGCAAGCATGGTCTTGGAGCTGATCAAATCAAGCCTGCGTGTGAACTTTGCCTACATTGATCAGGTGGTGGTGATCTGTTCGGGTCGCATCGAGGCTATTCACACAGAAAACATCAAGCAGATCCTGGAATGGTTGAGATACAAAGACTACAAGTATTCCTTTACTTTCGTGTACAACAAGGCTGATCTCCTTACGACAGCTGAGCGTGAGATGGGTGTCATCAACATGTGCCAATCCCTGCAAGTCCAGCGAATCGTGGCTCGTTGGGCTCCAGGTTGCATTGTGGCTGGCGATGTGATCCGAAGAAGCATTGAACCACGCCCTGGACTCCTGACGCGTGCCAAGTGTGTTGCAACGGGCTTCCCGGCAGGTCAAGAGCCCGAGCAGGTAATTGAGGAAATGTGTAAAGTCGTTGACAGTGCTTTTTCAATCGTGGACATACAACAGCGCATTCCAGTTCAAGAGTCCTGGTGCGCAATTCTCTGAACACTCAGTGTTGTGTGTTGCTGAAGTTGGCCTCCGTCCTGGCAGCTTGATAGCACATATTTTGGACACTGCTTGTTGTTTGCAGTATGACATGTGGAGCTTGGGGCAGGCCAAAGTGCTTCAGCACAGTATTCTCAATGGGGTTCGTGGGTGCCCAGAATGTTCCTTTTGCATTAGTGCGTGGACGCAGATCAACAGCGCTTTCTCAGATCAAATGCTGTGTCAGAGTGTTTCTTCCCCAGCAGGGTACCATTTCGCAGAACACCAGTGCAAAGCCCGAATTTCCAAAGGTGCCCCCCAACTGGAACTGCTCAAGCACAAACCGCAAGCTCCATGACCGTGAGCCCGGGGAGCCTACACGAGGGGACAGGTTTTGCGAGCACATGTTACGAAGTGCATGGGAGCTTTAAAGCATAACCGGAAAACAAAATTTAAGTATTTGGCCTCCCGAACAAAACAGAAGGGTATTTCATCAGACGCTCCAGACATGTAATCAGTCTAGAACACCACGTCGATCGTTAGGAGACACTTGAAGCACCCAAATGCGCAGCGATCGCCGCAAAGGTTCCGTCGCCGAAGGAGACGGTCGATGCCGCCGGACGGCATGTATGGGTTGTTTCATGGGTTGTTGCTCACAGATCCCAACACCCCTTAAACAACAACTCGTAAGAGGTTAATTAGTCGAAGGGTATGGACTCTATCGTTCCAGCTCCATCCTAAGCCCTCTTCATCCCGGAAGCCCTAGGCCCTGAACCCTGAGCTGTCATCATCCCCCAAGGATTCTAAGGCTGAGGTCCAAGAGGACATGGGGGCTGATCTCGCGTTTAGTGTGTGTCACACCGCCTGCAACCACCAAGGCAACTAAAGCAGGAAATCTGGACTTGAATTTAAACTTCAGCATCGACACGGCCAATGTTTTATTGTTTGAGTTTTAAGGTTTAGACTTCGGTGTGTGGGAGGTTTCGCTTTCAGTGTTCAGGGCTTTGATCGTGTTTTAGCAGCTAAGCCGTGAACCGTGAACTCCTAATTGGTCCTAACTTCACAACCTTAAACCCTTAAACCTCAAGCCGTAATTCCCCCAAACCCAAACCTATAAGTCCCCAAGCTTTCAAGACAGGGATCCCGAGCCTCACGCAAAGGAAGTCTTTGTCGGCACCGTGGTGGGATGGTTGTCAGTTTGTCAATGCCAGGACTAGCATTTGTAGGTGGCAGGAGGTTTAGGGTAAAGGAATCGGTAATTTCAGGTTTAGGAGTCTACAGTTTAGGGTTCAGGCTTTGGAGATCAGGCTTCTGCTGTTCTCAGTTACTACACACCAATCAAAGTCTGACAGAAGGCTCTGGCTCTTCGACGACCGTCTTCCTTAGTTTCATCTCCAGCGCTGAACTTAGGCGACAAAAACTTGAGGCTCCAAAGTCGTATGTGTGCATGTAACATCTGTCCTCCTCTGTATGCATCTGTCTACACGTGTGTGTATGCTCGCCAATCTATCGGTATGTTGCGGGCACAAGGCCTGAAGCGGTCGAGGAGATGACGGCCTTAGAACAGTCGCAGCTTTTCACTGAGAGCGACGGCGCTTTAGCGCTTTTGTGAATGCAGGGCTCAGGCTTAGGGTCAGTCTAGTGCTTCAAGAAGTTCTAGAACGGTTTCTAAAGGGTTCTAGGAAGGTTTAGGGTCTAGGGCTCAGGGTTCAGGATCTTGCATTTACGTAATGAAATGATGACATCTTCATCCACCTGAGCCTTGCACGACGTTTATCCCATAGTCCGCCCCAAGGGAAGCAGTAACACCGACGCTAACCGAACGAGCGTTCTCAAGACGAGGTGTTAGCCTCCAGCTACTCAGCACCTTTCACCACAGGGTTGTCCTTGAAGAGGAGAAGAAGTTGGAGAGACCTTATAGTCGGTTGTAGTCCTTGTATGAATACAGTATGGTATTCCCCAAAGCCTATTCTTTATAATTAAGGATCTACAAGACTCTATACAACTTCATCAAATTGCACCAAGACCATAAAGCCCCTCGTGGATTACTCAGGCCTCTAGATTAGACAGCTCTTCTTCCTTACGGCTAGGCCATCCAGGCCCTAAGCTCTTGATCCTAAATTCGTTGTACATCAGTCTTTGGGTCTTTATAAAGTTTGAAAGGCTACAGTGTTTCTGTGGGCTTTTAGGGTTGTTTAGGGCTTGGACTTGAAGCTTAGGGTTCAAGCGCTACATTTCTCAGCCTAAACACGAATCTCCTGAGAAGGACAACCCGCTTTCGCCAATTTTCACCCCAAATTTTCATTCCCTGGCGGCCTCGGCGAAACCAGATGCACTTGACAGGTACATAAAGGTTTGGTATATGAACATTTGACTTCGCTACGGCCCGTATAAGTTAATAACGGTGAATATCAATGTGATACTAACCCAGTTAGAGAGTGTGTGTAGGTGGGGGCTACAGGTTTTCAAACATGCTATGCAAGGGCCACAAGTGCTTAGGGTTGAGGGTTTAGGGCTTGCTACACCCGAAAACATGGTCTGAAGAACAGAGACTAGGAACATTGGCTGGCAACATTGGCCCCTCGCGAAGCCAAAAGCTAAACTCCTACACAGCGAGGCCTAGAGAACAACCTAGCCCCACACATTTTGTGGGGGGTTGATGAGATAGAACTAAAATGTGCCCTGGTAGTTTCTATATTGTGTCATTCTACTAGAATATCCCCACCCGACTCGATTTTTTGAAGCTCCTATTTGGCGAAGTAGCACCAGGGTTGCCAGGCCGAAGCCGCCAGCAGCTTTCGATCGCTTCCAGTTTTCCGCAGCTTCCTTGCCAAAAGCAGGTCGCTAAACCCAAAACCAGAAGCTAAAAGCCCGTAACCACAAACCCTAAACCCGAAACGTACCCCTAAATCCCAAAGCGCCTATCCCTATAGTATCATATCCCTAAATCCGAAGAGAGACCTTACATCCGCAACCCAAAATCCTTGCAAGCGGTTTGCTCCACAGTCTCCACAGCCTAAACCCTAAACCCTAAACCCCCTAAATCTTGAAGCCAAGCTGAGCCAGGACTGACCTCCGAAGCGAAGCCCTCTTCTCCCCCCTTGTGGGGTTCACAAGATTTGGAGTTTAGGGTTTAGGGGTTTGGGGTTAGGGGTTTAGGGTATTTAGGGATTAGGGTTTAGGGTTTTAGGGTTTTAGGGTTTAGGGTTTAGGACTTATATAGGGGCTTCATAAAGGGTTTAGTTTCGGACTTTGCAGCTTGGGGCGTAGGGTATTGTAGATGAGCCCCCTACATAAGAACTTTGGCCCTACATAGACACGTAAAAACCGAAAAACCAAAGATCACACCCCCCAAACTATCGACGAAAGTGAAGCCACCCTAAACCTTAAACCTTTGGGGCCGCTAAGCCCTCAACCCAGCAAGAAACCTGTTTCAGTCACGGAAAAGGCCCGTGGCCGCATTAATCCGGAATGGTTTAGGGTTTAGAGTTATGGGGGTTTAGGGTTTAGGGTTGAGGGTCTAGGGTTTTGGGTTTGGGTTGAGGGTTTAGGGTAACACCCCTGTGTACGAGAGCACGGAAGAGCGCGCAAGCGTTAGATTTAGGCTGTTAAGTTTAGGGATTCAGGTTTCAGTGTGTGTTTTGTTAGTATAGTATAAGGGGCCTTACTAATTAGAATAGGGTTTTGGGGGCTCCTTATTATAATTAGAGTACAAAAAGATCCCAAAACCCTGGTCTAATAATTAAGGCCCCAATACGATCGCGGAGCCCGTCCGCGGTGAACCGCAATGTCCAAGGAGCCCTTGGACCCTGCAGGCCCGACAAACCCTACGGAACCCTACCGGAAATCCTAAGCCCCAAGTTCTAAACCTCGAAGTCCTGGGGCCTAAAGCCCAACCTTTAAACCCTAAAACCCCCTAAACCCTAAACCCTAAACCCCAAACCCTAAACCCGAAACCCTTTAAACTTTAAACCCTAAACCGCCAGCCCTTATCTGGAGCGGCTCACATTGATTCCTAGCTTCCGCCGCTTCCGGTGAGACCTCCGAGGACGCGCCGTCCCCGTGACTCGGCTCACTTTGGGTCTCTTGCTTGGTTTAGGGTTTAGGGTTTAGGGTTTAGGGTTTAGGGTTTAGGGTTTAGGGTTTAGGGTTTAGGGTTTAGGGTAGTTAGAAGTGGGGTTACAAGTCCCTTAATATGGGTTCAGGGGTAGCTATAAATGGAGTTTAGGGTTTAGGGTTCAGGGTTAGTTCAACCCATGTTAGGGGACTTATAACCCCACTTATAACTACCCATGAACCTCCAAGTACCCTGAGCTCCCAAGACTTTGAAACAATGCGAATCCCTGGAGCCAAGCCCTCAACCTCGAGCCCTCAACCCGAAACCCCAGATCCTAACGTCAAACCCTAAACCCTGCACGCTAAGCTCGCGCACCGACATGCTGTTCGCTGCTTTCTGTGACGCCGTCTACCGTCCGTTTCCTTGGTCTTGGGAAAATCTTGGAACAAATACCTCGAAGACTCCTGGTCAGTAGACCCTGGTTCATAGCCCCCTTCATTTTGGTCAGTCTTTTTGGATTACCCTGAACCCTAAGCCCAGGAGTCACCGTACTGGGGGAAAGGAGGCCCTCATCGGCGTAGCTTGTAAGGTTGTGAAATTTTGCAGGGCTTGAAGGGTCGAGGGCCGAGGGTATGCAGGCGTCACAGTTTAGGGTTTAGGGCATTCAAGTTCTGGGATCACTCGGAATGATGGCTGTAGCCACCTTGTTCAACGGCCTGCTGATTTTTGACTCTTTACGCAGGCCCAGAAACCCTAAGCCCCAAAGCCTGAAGCCCAAAAGCCGCCACAGACTCCGAACTCCGTAAACCCTCAAAATTGTGACATTCGTGAACCCACGGCCTGACAAACAGACATCAGAGGTTCAAGATTTAGGGTTCATAGGGTTTACCCATAGGCCCCATAAGTTCCTTTTCGGGATTACCTTATAGGGTTCTAGATATGAACCCCAGAAAAGAACTACTAT